AACACTTTACAGAAAAAACTATTCAACGCCAAAGACAAAATCAATTTGTTAGATCAAAATGGTGTTTATAAATTGGAATGCAGTACTTGTGGTGCTACTTATATTGGTGAAACAGGTAGATCTATCAAAACTAGAATTAAAGAACACCAACATAATGACAATTCCAATTTTGGTAGACATATGTTAATGTTTAGACATGATCTTGACATACAAGAGGGTGTTACGTTGCTACATAAACAGAACAAAGGTTTTAAACTTAGTTTATTAGAACAATATGAAATAGATAAATTTTAAAATAACAACACAGATTTAGAATGCCTTAATGATCAGGTACTTTCTTTAAAAATTCCACTTTACAAGTATTTAACCATTCCTTTTGCCCCAAAATGCAGAGGACTAATGAATTAAATCTTTAAAGATTTGTAAAAGAATTTTACGTTTATTTTGATTAAATTTTGTGACAATAATAATTTTCATTTGTTCACCGCTTTATATTTTCGATGTTAATTTCGTGTAAAATACATTGACTTGTAAGTATTTTTTAAAAAACTTTTTATTGTTAATTCACATATTTAAATTTCACTTATTAATTAAAAGTGTTAATTCTTGTAGTTGTCTCTGATGATGGCTTTTGCCGAAACTAGTTAGACAACAAAAATATAAATAAACCAGTAAAAGTACAACAAAATTCGAAAAATTTTTTCTATCACGATTACATTAATGTTTTAACGGACTCATTTTAATCGCGTAAGGTCAAAGTACCAAACGAGATTTTTACAAAATAATATTCTCAATTACAATTTTCGGACAATGTTCTAAAAACTTTAAAGCAGACGAAGATAAGATGAAATTTAAATAAGAAATATTAATATAACTCATAAAAGTCATAAATGATGACAAATAGAAAATTTTAATTTATTAGTACCATAATTGTAAGTAACGCAACTAAGATATATTTTATAAGTAATACTAAAGATTCCTTTAATTAATTTGCTTTGTAAACCGCTGTGTTGTGCCAAGTTCGTTTAATAATAATAGCAGTGACAATGGGGAATTTATTAGCTCTATTAGTTTATTCATTAACGCTCAACTGTGCGTACGTGTTTTTGTGCAATCAATTTTTAATTCGAAATAATTTTGTATTAATAATTGATATAATAATAGTTATCTTGTATAATCTATTGAATCAATTCATTTCTAATTAAAATGGGAAAAAGGAAAAGAAACGGTAAGTTTTAAATTTTATTGCGCATTATTGCACAAGATTTATGACGCGTACATCATCCGGGGAATAACAGAATATAAATAAGTATAATTAAATTCATATCAAACTAGAATACTGTTTAACTTCGTGTCAGTTTATTCCTTAGCGCTAAACTGTGCGTACGCGTTTTTGTGCAAACAATTTTTAATTCGAAATAATTTTGTATGTCTTAATTTACCGATTTTAGGTAGATTCCTTTACGCAATCTAGTGAAGCTTAAGTATATTGAGGAAATCGCACATTTTCACTTGGTGCAGCTTCCCGTGATAATGACAAATTTTCTGCGCTTGTACTAGCGTNTATTTTAAAAGAACTTAATAATTTTTAGCCATAACCCTTATAATTAACATAAACTAAGAAGAAAATATTTAAAGCAACTCTGATTGATCACGTTAACCTTTGCTTATAAATAATTGTTAGTTTATTTAAAAAAAACTGAACAGTCCTTAATAATAAACTTTACTTGAACTTCAATTGAAGACCTTGCTGCAAGAAGGGAGTAGCTCCATTTATCAAGAGAAGGAGTTGTCCCCTTCTTATACCGAGGTCTTTAATTGTTAATTCCAAGTCAAGTAACCAGAAACATTTTATGGACTGTTGTAAATAATCGTCCAACCTATCAAATTATAAAAAACATATGTGAAACGAAAAGAATTCGAAAACTTTCAACAAAAATCAAATTTTAATAAAAATAACAATATGTTTATGAGAATTGTGAGGTTATAATTGTAGGTACAATAGAGACTTGAAACTATAGCTAAGTTCAGGTCGGTACATCCAACATGTCTGACTTTCTGATTACCCCCACCACCACCACATACGCTCTCTAGATTATATATAAGACCTCAATGACTAGCGTGGAATCTATTCCTATGATATATGTGCAAAAAATGACACCTTTGTTCTCCCGTTTAAGTGTTACTTTTCACATAAATCGCATTATACGAACTCATTTTTATGGCAAAGTTTAGTAATTTTTTATGATTAACATTTTAATTATTTTACAACACAAAATACGTCATTTTGTACAAAAATATGTTAACAACAATTCTATGTATTTAACTTTGAATAAAATTTTTTTGCGAGCAAGTTAGCTGGAATTTTTGTATAACTACACGAAAACATGATTCACTAGTACCATAGCACAGTACTAAATAAATTCTCTCTTTCAGGGTTAACATCGCATGAAAAGACTTAATCTCACCAACATAAGTTGCAACTTTTATGGTTTCTATGGTTACATATCATAAATTGAACTTGAAAAATTTTCAATTTAGAAAAAAGTCCAATTTTTACATAAAAATTATTATATTTTATTAACTGAAATTTTTCCAATGTATTTATCATCTTCATAAAAAAAATCTAGGCATAAATTGAACGGGGGTGGTTACGTTTAGTAGTTTAGAAGGGTAGGTTGAAAGTACAAATAGGGTCAAAACGTGCCCTATTATGAGTTAAACATATTCCCCAAATTTCATTTTCCTAGCGTTTATGGTTTTTGAGAAAAAAAAATTAAACCAAAATTTTCCGCCATTTTTG